AGAACCGTGGATTTTCACTGGCATTGGTACCGAATACTGAAATGTTGGTACCGTGACAACATTACTATCACTGCTGTGAACTGACCACCACAGAATATCAAAAACTTCATACATCGTTAGATCCACAGAGCAGCTCATATACATCGGCTTGACTGAAAAACTGGGAAATGCTGTTGGCTGTTGTGTAACGGCAATTTAACCTATTACACAAACAAATGTTTTTTTGTTAATCTCTTTACATTTATTTGTGGATCATAATCTATTTATTTGGAATTAAGCAACAATTCTATCTCCATATGTTCTGGACCCACCTGCAGTTCTGTGAATCCACAGGATTCACCTACAGCCAACATGTTATGCAAACCGAATGAGACCTAGACACCATCACTGGGGAAATCACCAGACTGTTTGATTAATTTAAACATGAAACACAGGATATTTCAAGAGAAAGAAAGAATGTTTATGAGAGAGGATATGCTTTGGATTTGAATAAAGAAGTGAAGAGTTTAACCTGGGGTTATGAAAATCAGACAATCCAGATCCAGGTCTAAGCATCACAGAAAACCTCATTTAACCTAGCGCTAACTGCCAATTTTTTCAGTCTCTCTCATATCTGCGTCTAAGCAATGCATAAGCACATGAGTATCGGGATGGGAGAAGGCAGATAATTGAAGCTTCAGCAGAGGAAATTGAAGTTTAAGAGCAATGTATTCACTATTGTCCTGTACAGACGAACTGCAATATCCTGTGCCTGTCCCTATTTTTTCTACCTCTCTGTTGAAAAAACTGACTCATAATCACCCCTAATACCAGGCAGCAGTTGTGCGAGGCCCTGTGAGGTGGGTCCTCTATGGTAGAGAGGGGGCCCACCTATAAGCACTTTGTCCTGGCCCTGTGAATTTTAGCGACGGCTCTACCAGGCAGTGCTTATTTTGCCCACATGACACTGATAAAAATGTCAAGGGGTCGTACACATCTACTTTGAGGCCATTCTGTGATTACTTCATTTGGTGCTGGCAGTCCAATAAATGCCTTCAAACAACATAAATACTTTCATGCGCCTCCACAATCTCCCTGCAACAAACTTCATATCATAAAACATTCCTCTCACTAAGACATACGTATACATCACTTTCCAAAATATTTTCAGTATTGCACAGAAGATTCATTTCTCATTTTGGAGTGATGAAAAGAAGTCTGCTGGACAGAGAGACATAGAGGGGATGTTTCCCACAATTTCAGTGCCCTCTGGGTCAGACATTATAGCTTCGGTTTCAGCTGTAGTGTATAGACGCACCCAGCTGTGACGGCACCGCACTGCACACACACTAGAACGGGGTTCAGAAAAGGGTCTCAACATAATTCAGAGCAGTAAACCTTCAGCAATTGACCCTCTTAATGATTTGATCTGGGGCAGTGCATCATCCTAACAAATAAATCAGCATTAAAACACATACGAATACGAATGGGAAATAAAAGAGTCAGGGGTATGTATTTACTAGGGCTGTCAAAAAAAATTCGAATTTTGAATATTCGTCGAATTTAAAATAAAATCCACAATTTTAGGTGTGCGTCAGGCAGCCTTTTATCAGTGGCGCATGAAATGGGACGACAATGTAATGTTTTTGTTAGCCTATCCAGTTGAACCCACTAGATGCGACGCTGCTACGTTGTTCATTCAAAATATTGCAGAAAAAGAGAACAATCAATGCGGGGAAGATGTTGTTTACGTCAAAACTGAAACCAAGCCGTTCACACAGAACGCATATTCATCGCATTTTCTAGAGGGACATCTATCAACGCTGCACTCGCATGAGAGAGCAGCATGTTTAGAAAGCTATGTAAAATTAATGTAAGTTCAACTTTTAAAAAACATGATTGGTTTTCAGTCCTTTGTGTTAAACTATACATGCATGAACAAGCAACTTTATTAACTATATATGATTTATAAACATCATTTTAAACATTTTTATTATTACTTTTTTTAAAAGATAGTCGTGTTATTTTATTATGCTTTGAAGAAACATGCATAATATTTTGCTCGATGTGCCCTCTTGTGGCCTCAGGAAAGAAGCCAAAAGCTTTTTTCCCCCCTAACTGAAATTATGACTTTTAAATTAGAATATAATTCGAATATTGATAATATTTAAGTAAAACGTTTTTCAGCCATTTTGACAGCCCTAGTATTTACTATGACACCCTACTCTGGCATCAGCTGTGCTACATAGCAGACAGATGAGAATCCAAAACTGAAGAATTTATTTAGTTCAGTCCTCTTATGCTTTGTTAAGAGTGCAAGACCAGTGTATATTACAAGCCGGTTAGAATGAGGTGTCAAACAGGGTCTGCAGCACTATTAAATCAACAAAGTCACATTCATTCTGCCACGTCTAAAAGTTCAACAGCCATTCATCTGGACTCCTCATTGACCTAGCTGATGTAAGAAAGGTCTTCTTTATGTGTGTGAGGTTAATGGTGTGTGAACTCATCGCAGTCACGGCACACAAAGTCTTAACAAGGCTATTTAAAACAAAAATACTGAACCGTGCAGGCATCGGTCCACACACACACACACACACACACACACACATTCCAGCACAACACTCACACCATCTATCACTCTCTGTATGGACACATACATAAGTCAAAAATAAGTTTATATTAGTACAGAACAAACACTTTTATAGTATAAGGATTGTCCAACATTATATCGGTGGTTCTCAACCAGGGGGCCGGGGTCCACAAGGACTTCAGCAAACTTCCAAGGGGGCCCCCAAGATGACTTAAAATGATCTAAAATAATACAAATCAAGCATTAAATTAAGCAAAAACAACAAAAAAAAAGGTAACCTCATTTTAAAAGTGAGATTTTAGACCTGAAAAAGTCATATAAAATAATAAAATCCTAAAACTCCATGACTAAATTTTATAATGGATATTCATTTTTTGTTATGCCAAATTCTAAAATATTTTATTGAATAGAAATTGTGAGAAAAACTTTAAAATATATATTTTTTTATTCCATAAATCAAGACCAACTGGAAACATCATGGGGTCTTCGAATATTGTTGTGGTCAATGGGGAGCCTTGGAGTCAAAAGGGTTAAATAGTTAGTTCACCCAAAAATTAAAATTGGCTTGTGGCTTCTCCTCAAAGCATCCTAGGTGTATATGACTTTCTTCTTTCAGACGAATCCAGTCGGAGTTATATTAAAAATTGTCTTGGCTATTCCAAGCTCTATCATTGCAGTCAGCGGGTGTTGCAGTTGAACAGTCCACAAGTCGTCAAATAAAGTGTGCGCATCCATAATAAAACGTGCCTCACACGGCTCCGGGGGGGGAATAAAGCCCTCTTGTAGTGAATCCATGTGTTTTTGTAAGAAAAATATACATATTTCAAATGTAATAAACACTTTTCTATCACTTCCACCATCTGTCATACGCGGAAGCCGTTCCGGCGGATGACGTAGGACGTCAGCGTTGCGTGATTAGTGACGAACGCAGAGAGAGAACAAAACAAAAGGTTGGTCACGAATTAGAAGTACA